TTACCTCCGAAGCTGACTTCGGAGGTGTCGTAAGATCAAAAAGCATAAGCGCCTACACTTGATCCGTCATTCACCAAGATATTCACTGTCTTGGTGCTTTCGTGGGGGAAAAATCGTAGGTTGTTGGGGATCCACACGCTCAACATAACTCTCTCGGGAGTGTCACTCTCAGGAATATCTTTCTGTTGATTGTGTTTGCTTTGACATTGGCTTTCTGTTAGTCGATTTAGCTTTAATGTGTTGTTTAAAATGAACCATTTCTGAACAACTCTAACATCTCCTCTTGGATGCACCCTGCTTGGTGTGCATCCGTGTTCCAATCCACTAGATCTTTTCGAGTGGTGAACCTTCGGCGTAGCCTGTGTCTCTACACAGGTGCCGGAAGATGATCCCACAGTGCAGTGGTCTTCTACACTGTGATTTGGTGCAGTCGCAATAACGACCGTACCATAAGTGAGGCCATCACACGCTCCAAGACGTTCGTCAGATGTCCATACGATGAACGAACGGCAGGCAGCTTCACGGATCAATGCTACCAACTATCCATGGCTGGTGTGTTCGAAGTTATGGTAGACCAAGGATGACATCGATTTTGTCATCCGAATCCAGTACGATGAATTCATCATCGTGTTGTTTTCCTTCTAGCGTGTAGTGGATTGCCACTACACGTTTGTTCACTGTTACGGATGCGTCTGTAGCGAGGCACACCGTCATCCACGTCGGAGAGAACGCTCGATCAACATAGCTGAGACTGCTATCCTATAGCGACTGGCGTCGACTAAAAATGTTCGACGCACCATAGTCAACTAGGGCGCAAAGTGACATTCCACTTGTTACTTCGATCTTCAAAGTGATGAGTGCCACATCATCACTAAGGGCAGTAACACACAGCGACTGTGTGTTGGAGCAATCTTCGTCAAGAGTCTTGCAAATTCTCTTGACGTTGCTAAATCAATAGGGTAATCCAACCCTGCAAACCCTGACCGTTTTTTGGCGGTCCCACTTGCTGTCGCAGCTTAGCACCAGGGTCGGACCCGCGCCTTGGACCCTTTCTTGGCCAACGGTGGTCATCACGTCCTGTCTTTGGACATGTTGCGGTGCTCGGGACACTATGCTCATGAGCTTAGTGTCCAATCTTCTGGCAGCGATAGCATCTTGCCGTTCGCTTGTGACTCAGAAAGCGATAGTTCTCGGTATCGATACAAAGAGATCCATTGGTTTGAAACCTCCGGATTCCTGTCGTTATGTTGAACGACAGTTAGATGGGTTTGCCTGAGACTGTCATAGGCTGAAGTTCTCCTGTTCCGCATACGCTATCGCCCTTTCCAGCGTATGGAAGTCCTCTCGGAACTTGTAGGTCTTCACCGACCCAACTACAAGGCCGTAGATGAACACGTTGATGAGCGTGTGCTAGTCAACAGGGTTCTCTGTAACGCTACTCGCAAGGTAGCGTAGGTGTTGTGCGTAAGCGTGCACACCACGCTTACCTTGCTTTAGCCTTAAGAGTGCAGAGCGTGCTCTGAGCTCGGCTCTCGGCGGCTCAAACGTCTCTTTGGGTTGAGACTTCAAGATCTCAAACGATTCAAACACGATTGGGTCGTGAAGCTTGAGCCATAAGGCCCAAGAGTTTGCTCGTCCTGTCAAATTTTACAGGGCTAAGGTGACTTGCATCTCGTCACCCTCGATGTAACGGGCCCTGATGGCATCGTCTAACTCGAGGAACCATCTCAAAAGAGAATCTTCATCGATTCCTTTTTGCCTTGAGATATCAATCTTCAAGATTTTGGGTCGACGCATGTGCGTCCATCGACTGATGATAGCCTTGCTGCTGTAGCAAGGCTATCATCTGTCGTTCGACGGCAAGTTCCTCTTGTAGGAACTTGTTAATAGCAGCATGTTGCTGGTCTCTGCTTAGAGACTCCAACATACCACTCATGGCGGGTTCTGCCATGAAAACACTCATGCGACCGACTACCTTCCATTCTGAGTCAATCAGGTGGGAGTTGGTCTTTTCTTGTGACGTGAAAGCTGTCGCCTTCTACGTCCAACGTGTTCATGTTGGACGGACACTAAGTAGTCGTTGGATGGACTACAAAGTGCTACCAGGTGTAACGGGGCACCCTTTGTCTGGGTCCACGAATCTGTACGTACACTAGTACGTGCAGATGGAGATAATCTACTTGAACGACTCGTTCAAGTAAAGGTAAAAAGATAACTGTATTTAATATAGTTAAGCTATCAATATAACTTCAGTCTTTATTTAACTATTTTAAACTACGTCGTCGTATGACGACAACCTGCTCACCACTCATTGCGCGCGTCTAGCAGCGATTGGTGGCAATCTATGGTTGATATGTCTAATATCAACCAATCTTGGAGCAGCCAATGAATATTATCTAAAGGGGATATTATTCCTACAATATTGCCTATCTCAGATAATATTGGCAGGAGATTGTCATGCTAGACAATGTTTCTATCGACCCTGTTTGGTGTCAATTTCATGTAACAGGCCACCCCGTTACGTTAAACCAGTATATTAAACGAGAGACCTGGGAGCTGGTGGTGGCTTTTTCCAGCGGAAGGTGGGGACTCTCTAGTTCTCGATTTACCAACTCGACGCACTTCTTATAGTCTGGCACTATTAATAGTTATCACTGCGTTTCATGCTCCCTCTTTGCGATTGCTTGCATGTTGCGCAACGAGAAACCCAAAACTATTTGTGATCCCGTGAATGTCGAACGTGACTGTCGTAGACGGATGCATTCCTGCCAACCCAAGTCTTTGTCAGATAATGTTCCACCTTTAGGTACATACACATGCGATCGCTGCCACAACATCTTAAAACCGATCCGCTAGTGTCTCGATTATGTGCGAAAAGAAACCGCACGGTCTCCACGTACTCTCGACACGCTAGTGCCTTTGTGCAAGTGTTGTTCTATTCGTTGCAGCATGGTCACATGTCGTGTTGCCGCGTCGTGACCCTGTTTTCTGTCCTCTGCTCAACGAATCTGCGCCATTGTAGAGGAATAGTCAATGCAATTTAGCGCGTGAATATACTATTTGGCAAAAGCGTCACAACAAGTCAAAGGTCGGTACTTGCATCCCAGCCGCTATACTTGAGCAACGTGCTTAGTTCATGGCTCGAAAAAATAAGCTACGCTCCTCAAACGTTTCGCGACACAACACAATTTAGCCTTTTTGGTGAGGCGGCGTGCCAAGCCAACTCGTCGCTCATTGCAAATGTCCGGATGCCACGAGCCTCCCCGTGTGAGCTCCTTGTCGATCTCATGCGCGGACGTCGTCTAATTGAATATTCTATACACAAAGGACGGCCAGTGGTGATTGTGCACATGGCTGTAAAACAGGCACATGCTACGCATTTCAGCAGGGGACTACTTACTACTTACGCCTCCAAAGAGAAAAACAGAGAGATGTCGAACTCGGGCGCAGAAGCACGCGAAAACAACCAGCGTTGTGCACATGAAGTTCCGGTGCAAACTCCTGTCTGCTCGGCTTGGGGAGAAATGTGTGGAGACAGACACGGAACGCGGAGGTGATTGAGTCGTGATTAAAGCACGATATCAAAAGTGATCGCTCGATTCGCAGCCTGATGCCTCAGCAGATGACTATCGTGCAAGCGCTAGACTTTCAAACTCGTCCTGACGCCGTGCCTGACCCGATTGACTATTCACATCACTCTTTTGAATGACTCACTGCTATCGCCACTAGTCACCAATTGTACATGTCTCCAGCGCGTCTTCTTCCATGCTTGTTGTTACCTCTACACGGACTCCATTGTGCTACGTCTACGGCTGCAGTGCACCATGTAATAGGGACAGCAATAACAGTGAGAGGTAGTGTACTTGGTTCTGTAAAGACTGGACTTGCATGACTTGGCTCATCAACCTCGAGCAAGGAACTACCTCGGTTGTAGCTAGCGCCAGATCGGTATAAACGTAGCTGTCCATACATGTGAGAACTATCAAGCGAGGTATTTGACGTTCGAGAAGAGTGCTGTAGGCAGCTGAGCTGGCTGCCATCAGGCCAAGGACGTCCATCAGAGTAGTCGTTCATTGAGCGATAACTTCAAGTCGGTATTTCTGCTAAATGCTGCTTGGTAACATGGCATAGAGGGACAATGTCATTGCGCGAGGGAGTTCTCTCTGCTATTGTGGTTGCACCTGTTGACTCCAATTCGACTATACGCACTGTAGGCTCGTTTCGTAAATTGCCATGATCTCAAGGTCGAGATTATCGGCTCATATCACAATAAGGTAGGCCGTTGTGTGAACGTCCATGATGGGCATCTCATCGGTCAGCTTAAAACTACTTGACAAATGTAAGCGACAACAACGACGGCTACTACATTTGCAAGAAGATCATAGAAGCCAACCATAACAAGCTCCTTTCTCACGAACCAAGAGGCACCGAAGTGAGAGCAAAGTGAAAAGCTGTGTGATGTTGCTGCCACCACGTAATATTACTTCCTAGAAGGAGTGCACAGATATAATGGACATGGTGGCGTAACGCGAAATTGGCATGACATCGACCGAGATGACAATTACGTTTAAAATGCATGAACAACATGAATTGTATTAACGTGTTATCGCACTCTGCTACAGCCGTAACGCGGTCGTGATGCCTCGACCTGTAGAGCATGCAATGGGTTGTCGGATATACCCAGCCGTTACTTTCGTGACGAGGAAAACAGTCAAAGCAACAGCACACACCATGAGTCACTCCATCAATCACAACGCTAACGTCGCAGGTCAAGCAGAATCAACACACCCACCGTCGTCACCTTCTTCCCTCGCAGTAGCGTCGCGCCCGGATGCACTCTTCTTCAGCCTTCAACTGCCAGCAATCGTCGCGCACGAACGTTCGAGCTCACCTTGCGCCACAAGACCACACCTTCCTTCTAGCACGACCGTGTACGCCATCCGGACGCTTGTTGAATCCGCAGCTCCTTGCCCAGCGACTACAGATGATCAAGCGACATACTAGCGTCCTTTCACGGAGCCCACCGCCTTGATCGCGCGTACGACTTCTTTCTCGGACACCGATGGGTCAATGGCGCGTAGCGTTTGCTCTACCTCGACAGCGGTCCGGCCTATGGCCTTCCAGTGTTCATACAGACGCGTTAGAAGATGATCTTTGTTACGGTTCTTCGATGCATACAGAAATTGGAACAGTTCATTGCCCTGATAGTAAGGTTCCAGCTCCGACATAAGCGACTCGTTCGCTATGTTCTTCTCCGCATCAATCTTTGCCTGTAGGTCCGCTTGAGAGTCACCAGGCTTGGGATGGTTCAGCTGCTTCTCCAAAGCCTCGATCTTGTCCTGTGCCTTGGTCTTGCGCTTCTCGACCAACCTGTCGAGCTCGACCAGAACGTTGAGTTCATTACCGCTGTCTTTGGGTTGTAAACCGTAATCTTGGAGTTTTAGAATCTCGACGATCTCGCTCAAAGACTTGTCTTTCCACATCTCCATCAGGCGTCTGAGATACATTCTACCGGCCGCATTCCACTTCGAATTCTCCTCCTTCAAGTTAAACTTCGTCATAAGTATTACGTGGTCTTCTCTCTTTTTTAGCCAGTTGTCTGTCAAAGACTCTATAGTGTCGGAGGACTGTGACATCTCTGAACTTCTCGTGCGAACGAGCGAGACCATTGAAGGTCGCGCCCACCGCTTTGCTCGCCCCGCCAAGGAAAAGTTGACTCACTCGATCAGCAAGACCGTTAGCCGCCTCGTTCCCGGGGACGACTGAAGGTCTCAACCTCCTCTCGACGGGAGCGACGAAGGGGGTGGAAGAGGCAGTCAAGGCGGGCAGTGGGACAGCAGATGCAGCGGACACGAGGGACAGTTTCTGGGCGTAGGCGAGGAAGGCGGTGATGGCAACGATGTCGAGGATGATCAGTTTCATGGCTGGCAAGAGGGATGAAGAGAAGCAGGAGATGACGAGGGGGGAGGAGTGGGCTGCTGAGGGCGAGGCAAATTGCGATATGGCAATACTTACCTGGGCGCTGTCCGGCGCGGAGACTTCACATCCAGTCATTTTGTTGCCTGGATCCACTCACACTTCCGGCTTGTTTTTGTTTTGCCCATCCGAAACTGTGCCGGCTATCCATTAGTCCTAATTATTGAATGGTCATCACTTGATCAGCGAACGGCCACTTTCGCGAGCCCTAGTGATGATGGCCGAGTTTGGAATCGACATCAGCACATTCGACCCGCCGTCGTCCATCTATCCATCGACGTGGACAAAGCGCCTAGCGTCGACTGTGTTGGTGATTTTACATGGTAAGGGTAAACATTGGTGGTTGATGGACTTCAGTCGAATTTAAATAGATTTCTGATCTAAAAAATAAATCAGCACAGAGGTACGACACAATGATTGGCGTAAGTGCGACCAATGATGACTTGTAACGGGGCACCCTGAAGCTTGTACTGGTGACAGTACAAGTGACAGTACAAGCTACTTATTCTGATGACAGAATAAGGCGGTGCCTCGGAACTTCACGTACACTCGTACGTTTAGAGGAAGACGGTAAGAAGAAGCGAGTACTTGGTTAAAGTAAAAAGTAGAACTGTATTCAGTATAGTTAATGTCTGTTAATTTAATCACTATTTATCCTCATCTAACTATGTCTGAATACAAATGTGCATATCAACTATCTGCTCACCACTCATTGCGTGCGTCTGTCGTGGCGCGTCTTCGTTGGTTGATATAATGGCCTATATCAACCAATTAGGAACTACTCGTAAGTGCTACTGTAGCGGAGCTACACAGCTCCTTAAGTCAGAGGAAGACTTAACGCTCTACGAGCAACTTAGTTCCAAAGAACTAACGACTTTACGAGTCAGCAAGCTTTACAGCTTCAGATCCCTGTTCCAGGGGACCTAACGATTCAGTGAATCGACAGCACTTAGTGCTATAGAGTAGCTACCTCAAGGAGGTGTTGCTAACTCTTAGTGATCAGAGATCAACGATCAAGACGGCTCGCAAGCCACGCGTCTTTCAGATCAAAATGGGAACTGATTTTATTTAATGTTAAAGCCTATAGAATATCTTAATCCTACTCAAAGATCTTTCGTATCTAATGGCTGACACTTGTCAGCCCCTACAAACCGATAAGATATTCTATATCACCTTCACAGAAGCGAACCCTCAGGTGTGTAACACCTCTGGTACAAAGTACCATGATTTCGTGCAACCCCGTTACACCCTCCCCCACCAGACTGACGTTTACCCAAAACGTCAATCGAACTCGTATTCTCAGCGAGAACAGTGCGCGTACGGTGAACCTCACGGTAACGTACGCTCTAGCACGATGTCCTCATCACCAAACGAGTCAAAGGCTCTGTGTGACTACCTCGGAATAGAGGAAGAGGTGGACTATGGTAGCGATACCAGTGTCCGCGGTGACACAGGGACAACGTCCGGCTCACTGATGCCTGAGGCACAACTTTCGAACACCCCAAATCCGTTCGCTGAACGTGGAGGTGCGAGCGCGCCGCCAGCGCAGCGTGCAGCATCTGGGTTTGATGAGACTATCATCGCGAACCCGCTCGATGAGCAACAACAACTGCTTGTTCAAAGAGAACAAAACGCTCAGCGTTATGCACAGATGACTGCAACCCTTGAACGCCAGCGTGATTATGTGTTCACCCCACCCAGTGTGGAGGAACGTCTGCGTCAAGCGGCCGGCCAAACATTGGCAACGTGGGTCATTGGCCATGGGCCTAAGACTCCTGAGGAGGTGGTGAGCTGCCAGGCACTTCGTGAGAGGTACCTGGAGCCGCACCTAACGACTCAAAGTCAATACAAGGCACGCCTTGACATGCAAGCACGTGGTGCACCAGTTCCACCGATGAAGGGTATACCCATTCTCCTGCTCGCAGGCGAAACAGCGAGTGAAGAAGACGATGCCTTTGTTCACTGGGTGCACTATGTGCGTCGCCTCAGCAACATTTTTGCTCTAAGGGCTAGTGCCCATGCGGCGGATGTGCGTCTCGAACGCAAGCTTCGGTATGATTATGCCAAGCTTAAGGCCAGAGGCCAATTGCGCAAGCGCACGCGCTATGCTTCGGCTACTAAGGTAGCCGCGAGTGCTGGTCAGTCTGTGACCAACAACCCGCCAACCCGCACCACTAGTGGTGGTGAACGGCCTCGGCCTCGCGATGACCATGGCCACGATGCTCAAAAGCCTCCAAAGCATATGGGCAGTCTTGCCGAAGGGGTACCTCAAATTCCCATGAGTTTTCAGACTCAGGGTACCCACGCCACTTTACCAGATACTGATATTGGCCCTGACGACGACGTCGTTTCAGTAGTCTCTCGACATGGAATTGACGACACCCATGCTCATCGAGCAACGTCGGTGGCGGCCGGTGTACCGGTGGAGGCCCACGAGAAATTGGTTCTCGAAGTGAAGGGTCTTCAAGCGGCCTTGGGTAAGTCCCAGTGCATGCTGGATGCGATGCAAAACCGCCTTCAGGCGATGGAGCAAGCTCAAACTCGGAGCGAGGCTCAGTTGGACTTGCTGATTCGTCTACAGCAATCCGGGGCGGTGCCCTTGTCGTCGGCGCAAGCGCCTCCAAGTTCACATGGGAAGGATCCCGGTACGGCTTAAGTAAGCCTACGTAGAACACTGGATGTGTGCGCAATTTGCGTGGGAGGTTTAGCGTATACGCAAGTCCCCTTTTGGCCGTGACCTTGAAAGGTTCAATAAAGCGTGGACGCAACTTTGTCTTAAAGACAGCAGACACTACATTTGTAGGTAGATTTTTAGCATTGAGTAGTACTTGGTCTCCGACCTCATAACGTTCAATGCAATTTCTGCTTTTGGCATCAGCTTGTTGTTTTTGGGTATCTTGGCTATCAGCCATTGCGTCACGCACATGTCTTAGGACATTTAATCGCGTTGCGAGAAACTCGCTTACCTGTTTTTGAACAGTAGCAGGGCTGATATCAGCAAGCCGATCGGCAACCTCTCCCCCACCAAGCCCTGATTCACGTAGTGATAGCGTTAACGGAACGCGAGGGTGAGTGAGACCGTTTATATAGAACGGAGTAAAGCCTGTTGAGGCATGAACAGCGTTATTCAACGCAAACTCAACAACAGGGAGCATTGAGCTCCAACGCCTAGGCGTATCAGCGCAAATACTGCGCAAAATGTCGTTGATGACGCGGTTTACACGCTCAGTTTGACCGTCGGTCTGCGGATGATCCGGCGTGACATTTCCAATCGAGTGCCAAGCACCTTGAAGATAGACTTCCAAAACTTCCCAGTGAAGCGGGGGTCTCTATCAGAGATAATTGCCACAGGCAAGCCATGTTGGCGAAACACACGGTCGATAAACAGCTTTGCTGTACCTTCCGCATCGATGCTATCCGGCACAGCCGCTAAGTGAGCCATCTTGCTCAATCGGTCAACAAAGACCACAATACCAGTGTTGCCTTCCGAATCTTTCGGTAGGCCAAACACAAAATCCATGCTCATGGACTCCCAACAACCACTGGGTACTGGCAAACTAGCCAGCGGCGCCGCCGCATGTGCCGAGGGTTTTACCCGTTGACACGTTTCGCACGTACGCACATAGGTGCGCACCCACTTATAAAGTTTGGGCCACCAATAGCTTTGGCTCACCGAGCTATAAGTCTTCTCACGACCGAGATGACCACTTAAAGCAGTATCATGTGCCTCATAGAGGATCCGATACTTTAATTCCTCATTATGAGGTACTACGATACGAGGGTTGTCCTCAATATCCGTGCGATAGCACAATAGGCCATTATCGATGGAATATCGATGTAGCCTCGCACGTAAACGTGCCGACAATTCTATGTCCGAGTCTTTAAACTCATTGCTCCCAAGAGCACGTAGCAAAGCTACACACTGATCGTCCTTGGCATATGCCGCACGAATTAAGTCAGGGACTGACGACGACAGGGTCGTAACATGAGCAAGCTCATAGTCAGGTCGACGCGATAGCGCATCAGCCAAAGCGTTTTGCTTACCTGGCTTGTACTTCACCTCGAAGTTATATTCGGCAAAGAAAGATAGCCAACGAGCCATTCTCTGTGAGAGATGAGGCGACTGTGTCGCAGTGCGCAATGACGCATGATCGGTATAGATCACAAATGGCTTCGAGCCAAGCAGATGGACTCTGAATTTGACAAGAGCGTACTTCATAGCAAGTAGCTCTTTGTCATGAACAGGATAGTTCTTTTCAGCAGCTTTCAGCTGTCGAGATTCAAATGCGATGACGCGTTCGCGTCCGTCGACATCTGTTTGTAACAGAGCACTGCCTATGGCAAAGTCAGATGCGTCACAGACGACACTGAAAGGCCGGCCAGAATCGGGCAAAGCCAAAATTGGCGCATGGAGGAGACTCTCCTTAACTGCTTCAAAAGCATTATGTTCGGTGTTACCCCAACACCAACCCACATCCTTTTTAAGGAGATTGGACAATGGCCGAGCCATATCTGCGTAATTTGCACTATACTTATGTAAGTAATTGGCAAGGCCAAGCCATTTACGCAAGTCCTTTTGGTTCTTGGGGACTGGCCAATCGACTATGGCTTTTACCTTAGCGGGATCCGCTCGAAGGCCTCGCTTCCCAATGAAGCACCCTAGAAAGGGAATCTCTTCTGCACCAAAGATGCACTTCGATGCGTTCGCATACAGCTTATTCGTTCGCATGCACTCGAGCACAGCTCGTAAATGATCAATGTGGTTATCCACATCTGATCGCCCATTCATTGCACGACTATGGACAAAAATGTCATCAAAGTACGTTTGTGCATAGCCTCGATGAGGTCTGAATAGTTGCGTTACCAACCGGTTAAACGTAGCCGGGGCGTTAGATAGCCCTTGCGGCATAACGAGCCACTCCCAAAGCATACCGCTCGGAGTACTCACCGCTGTTAGCGGAATATCGCTTGCTCGCATGAGCAGTTGGTAATAACCATCGACTAAGTCGAGTGCACTGTACAGTGTACATCCCGCCATATTGTTCTGAAGAACATCCTTTCGAGGAATAGGCGTCTGCGCCGGTATAGTAGCTGCATTAAGCTTATTGTAAGCATGCACAATACGCCACTTGCCATTTGGCTTTTTGACACAAAATGTCGGTGTTGAGTGGGGAGACTTGCTCTCACGAACCATCCCAGCCGCGTGCTTAGCACGAAAGAAATCGTCAATGACGTCGCACTGTTCTTTAGGCAAAGGCCACTGCCGTGTTACACAGTATTTAGTTCCAGGAACCAAGTCAATCTCATGACGTACACCTCTATCGGGAGGTAAGGCAGAAGGTGGGTTGTGACACACCACATCTTGAAATTCCTTGACTAAAGGATAGAACGGATCCGACGGATCTTTAAGGATCGAAGATCCACTTCGTGCACTAAGTGCCGCCTTTGTATCCTCTAGGACAGACTCATCCATTAACGAGGAAGAGTTCAACTCAGTATCAGGTCTAATGACCGCTAACTCGGATAACTCTCCTGCCTTCAAGGCCTGGCTAAACTCGCCATCAGACATTTCGTCTAGCTCACAAAGAGCGTCCACGGATGGAAGGGTTTCAAGGCAAACACTGCCATCGACCCGACCAGTCACTCCATTAACAAGTGTATACAGTGTATTGATAATCTCACTATGTGACTGTGAGGACGCCTGGCGCTTTACAGCTGCTACTCGGCGTCTCGATTGTCTCTTCGAGACCTTACACCCCTTAGGGGTCGGGACAATATTGTCCCCATGGTTACTACCAACCATAGTATGCTCTATACGAGAGCTTTTGTCTTGACCGACATTAGGTGTGGTGCCCTCACGGCCGCCCACACCATATGGCGAATCGCCAACAACGCCATTACCGGCGTTAAGCGTGGTGCCCTCACGGCCGTCCACACTATACGGCGTATCGCCAACAATGTCATTACTGTCATTAGATGTGGTGCCCTCACGGCCGCCCACACTATACGGCGTATCGCCAACAATGTCATTACTGACATTAGGTGTGGTGCCCTCACGGCCGCCCACACTATACGGCGTATCGCCAACAATGTCATTACCGACATTCAGTGCGGTGCTCTCACGGCCGACCGCACTCGGTGTAGTTTCACGTGCCACCATACACACATCAAAGGAATCACGTCCTTGATCACTCGGCCCTAGGCCAACCATGCTTTCAGCATGCAGTGACTCGTTATCACAACGAGTACCACTCAACGGAGTACGTGCCGTTTCACTAGTTTTAGACGAGCTAGGCTCGAAACTTATGTTTGTAACATGGGAGTTAGATAACTCGGACATTCCAATATCCAGCACATTGACATCTTCTGTCAAAGGCTCGCGCCAATAGCGCTTTTGCTGCCTAGCAAAGGTGGGTTCATGACTCTCCAAAGCTTCGCTAGGAACATTGCGCGTAGCGCCTAAGGTCTTAGACCTCCAATCAATCCATGGCTCATGGCGCTCAAGCCAAGCCATACCTAGGATGAGATCATATCTCGAGTCCAAATCTAGGACAAGACAGCGCTCAATACTGTCAAAGTCTAAAAACGTTATACCTAAGTTCAATGGAACTTTAGGCACCGTTACGCGACTTCCAGTCGCTAAACGAACCGTGATAGAATCACCCTCATGCGCTGTAAGCGCCTCAACATAACGCTGACTTCCCTCAAGGGAACGGCGTCGAGCATAATTGCAAGACGCTCCAGAATCGATCAATATCGACCAAGGCTTCTCGAAGCCCTTAATTTTCGCCTCGGCGACCAACAAGCCAGACTTGTATCCACGCACCATACCCGTAGGTATGGTACTCTTTGGGGCTAAGCCCTGCATTCCTTTACCTCCTAAAGGTGTAACAGAACATAGTTCTTCCCCAGTAGGGCGCCCCGCGCCTACTGGGTGTCGGCATTTCCCCGTGCCATGCCAGACTTCTGACTCGGGGTCGAGTGTTGGCTCGTAGTCTGGCGTTGCTTACGCAAAGGGCAACCAGGCCGCAAGTGTTTAGTGCTTCCGCACATAAAGCATCGTCTTACAACGTGTTGCTGCTCAGCAGCTCGAAGCTCAGCTTCACCTCCATCTTCAGCATAGCTGAGATCCATCGGTTCCGGCCTATTATAGGCAGTGGTACCCGAATAGTTTGCTCTCACAGAGCGAGGATTGTATCCATTCCAACCAAGTCTGGCCGACTTGAAATTATGCTCAGCATTAAGAGCAATTCTCACAGCCTCTTCAAACGTAGAGGGGTGAACCCGAAAAACCTCGGTTCTGGCAATGCCAGTACGTAGACCTTCCATGAAGATAGTCACATGGACTGCTTCAGGCAGAGGGTCAGACTGCATTGCAGCCATGAGCGTTCGCAGCTCTTGGACATAGTCCGATAATTCATTCTTACCCTGGCGGGTAGAAAGAAAGCGTGAGCGCACGCGGTAAGCCTGGTTAGGTGGAGAAAACACCTGTACCAATTGTGATTTGAGCGACTCCCATGTGGGAAACGCTATGTCCACCGACGTGCTACACGTCAAGGCCCATTCTCTAGCTCTACCATCGAGCTTCGAGATAGCCAGCGAGACCTGTTGATGGTCAAGCGTGATCAGGCCTGATCTCATGGCCATCTCGATCTCACGGATCCAGAGGATGAGATTCTCACCCTCCTTGCCGGAGTAGTTTTTTACGTCCACTTTAAGTGGACGAGGCTTAGCCTCTTCGTCTGGTACAGACACGAAGCGTGTAGGCATAGCCGACGCTATTTGGTCTTGGACCTGCCCTAAAAGGGTCGCTTCATACTGCATGAAGCCGTCAACACGTGCATTAAGCACTTCAGGACCTTGTGAAACAAGAAACTCCACGTACTCTGGACCCAAAGATGCGGTCAGCTTGTCAAGCGCGACCTTTTGGGCCTCAGATAGGGGAGTGATGCTTTCCATCCTCACAGAGGATCAGTCTTAAAGACTCAGGCGTAGATTGACTACAAGTGCTACCAAGTGTAGCGGAGCTACACAGCTCCTTAAGTCAGAGGAAGACTTAACGCTCTACGAGCAACTTAGTTCCAAAGAACTAACGACTTTACGAGTCAGCAAGCTTTACAGCTTCAGATCCCTGTTCCAGGGGACCTAACGATTCAGTGAATCGACAGCACTTAGTGCTATAGAGTAGCTACCTCAAGGAGGTGTTGCTAACTCTTAGTGATCAGAGATCAACGATCAAGACGGCTCGCAAGCCACGCGTCTTTCAGATCAAAATGGGAACTGATTTTATTTAATGTTAAAGCCTATAGAATATCTTAATCCTACTCAAAGATCTTTCGTATCTAATGGCTGACACTTGTCAGCCCCTACAAACCGATAAGATATTCTATATCACCTTCACAGAAGCGAACCCTCAGGTGTGTAACACCTCTGGTACAAAGTACCATGATTTCGTGCAACCCCGTTACAGCTACAGAATATTTGTCCTTATGACAATATTCTGAGAATACAACTCTTATAGTTATATTCTATTAACAATTTCTTACAAATTGTTATGTAACGATCCACCCCGTTACATCAAGGATCCATCACCTTGACCCCAGCGCGAAAAACTATCGGGCTGAGAATGAATTCTTCATCGATACTTTGTTTAGACATCGATGGTACAGTGGGAATCACAAACGTGATGGTCCCTCACTGCTTCAGGCGTGGAACGCCTACATCCATAACCTTGAGGATGTAGGTCGTGACGCTTCGAACGACAAACTTATCAAAGCTCGTGATAAGTTTGAAAAGCGAACCCCGACAGGTGCACGCTACAAGCTGCATCGTCTGTCAAGGGAAAAAGGATTACCCTGCCTCTCATGGGGAGACTCGTGCCCATGTTGTGTGAACAACTCTGCACGAGCACCTAAGGAGGCTTACCTCCTTACCAGCCCGTGGTGGCGCGTACGTATCTCTACTGAGATGTACGAAGGGATTGACAACCTGAAATCCCTTTACGACCGTGCCGGGAAGACTTTCTCCGGCGGTCCTTCTGCGGCACAGGATGTGCCGCATCGTACTGCTCGAACAGACACAGTACGTCAACCATCAGTTGGGAGCGGGGATCCCAAGTATCCCAGGACGGGGGATAGCCGCGCCACCGGACGAGATGACTCGTCCGACGTCCGTTCACGTCGCGGTGGTTCAACAGCTGCTCAACTAGATAGCGCTGGCCACCGCGAGAGTCCTCTAATGGAGGTGGAGGAGGAGGGAAGACGCTCTCCACACGATCATGGGGATCCGTGTGTTCCCGAGAGCTTCTTTGATCGCGTAACGCAAGGGTTACGCGGCGATCTCGAGCATGAGCAGGACAGGCGTCTCCAAATGGCGGACACTGTCTTGAAGCATCGAGCTGAGTTTGCCTTTGCTCAGCTTGAGAACGAGAGATCTCTGATATCTCTTCGTGACGAGCTAAGTGTAGCTCGTGGGATTGTTGATCGGTCTCGGGATGAGATGGCTGCTCTCAGACCCTTGTTGATGCCCACCATCGGGAGCACAAGGCTCTCTGCGAGATGCTTGAGCGCAAGGGCGTTCTTCATCGGAAGAAGCAGCGTACTGATGGTACGGCTTAAGCCGACCAACGTAAAACGTGGGATGCGTTCGCATCTTACGTGGTAACTCGATCGTGTATGCATTGCCTAGGCGGTGCAATACACGAAATGGGCCGATGTACTTGGGTAGTAGTTTACTGCTACCCAAGTTAGTCACTACATGCTTTGGTACATTAACCGTAGACAGTAGGACTAAGTCACCTTTATTAAATAAAAGAGTGTTCGCCCTTCCATTCTTGCCAGCGTTTTGCTTTTGCTTATCCACCGCTTCGGCGATGGAGTCTTGCACAAAACGGACTACCGTTTCACGAGCCAGTATGAACTCATCTGATGACTCGTTAGCTTCAGTGCGCTGTGAGTGCACTGCAGCAACATCAATCTTTTCTTCAGTGAGGGCTTCCGCACTCTCACTGGCATCATCTTCTTCAATATCGATGTTATCGATATCGGCATCAAACGCAATGACCTCTTCGTCAGAGCGTGATGAGCGTGAACCAATTCGGTTTTTGCTAGCGCGAGTCCCCCCCCTTGAACCAGAGTTACACTCTAGTAAGGTGGGTACACGCGGATGGCGCAAGCCATTCACGTAAAACGGTGTATGTGTCGTGGACGCATGCACCGAGTTGTTAATGGCAAACTCTACCATTGGCAAAAAATCACTCCAACTCTTAAAGGAGTGTACGTATCCTCGAAGTATCTCTTCGAGGACACGATTGGCACGTTCCGTCTGACCATCTGACTCTGGATGATCAGATGTCGACATCTTCAAGCGCGTTCCGAGTGATTTGAACACGGAACGCCAGAAATCAGCAGTGAAGCGTGAATCTCTGTCTGATACGAGTTCACGGGGCAACCCATGAAGTCGAAAGATGGTGTCAATAAAGACACAAGCACAGCCACTTGCCGTGATTGTCTCTGGTACAGCCACAAGGTGTACCATTTTGCTGAATCTGTCAACAAATACGAGAATACCCGTACTCCCGCGTGCGTCTTTGGGTAACCCGAAGACAAAATCCATTGAGATGGATTCCCAGCACTCAGCCGGAACCGGTAGACTGTAAAGGTGCACGCAGTGAAGGACTTGACTTCACTCGTTGACAGACTTCGCATGCGCGAACATACTTTCGCACAAACTGATACTGGCGGGGCCAGTAAAAGTCTCGACTCACCGTGAGAAATGTTTTCTCCCGGCCACGATGTCCTCCTGGAGGAGCATCGTGATACTCGAACATGATCCGCAAACGCAGATCAGTATCATCTGGAATGACAACACGTGGTGTGTCACCAGAAACGGCTGTATAATACAGTAAACCGTTACGAGTAGTGTATCGATCTGATGCAGATCGATACGCAGACGACAACCGTTTCAACGATTCTCGAGATGGTTGGGAGAGATGTGTCAACAACTTCACAATCTCACCATCTTGGGCGTATGCCCGCCTCACATCATCATGCAACGTTGAAGATGAGACTGCGGACGTCATAACTGCAACAGTGACTGTCTCACTGTTGGGTTTCGCGACTGTTTCAAAGTCTGGACGACGTGAGAGTGCATCAGCGACGACATTAAGTCGTCCTGGTTTGTACTCGACCGTAAAGTTGTATTCCGCAAAGAATGAAAACCACCGCGCCATTCGTTGTGAAAGGTGCGGGCTGTTCACTGCCGTGCGCAATGACGCATGGTCAGTGTAAACAATGAAGGGGCTATCTCCTATTAGATAGACTCTGAACTTCGCGAGTGCATACTTCATGGCAAGGAGTTCCTTGTCATGCACTGGATAGTTCCGCTCAGCTGGTTGCAGCTGACGCGACTGATAGCAGACGACGCGTTCAACGCCTTCAAGATCGTACTGCATTAATGCACAGCCGATTGCGAAATCGCTGGCATCACAGACCACATGAAATGGCCTGTCCTGATCGGCTATTGCTAGGACTGGGGATTGTATCAAGCTCTGCTTGATAACATCAAAGGAGCGCTGACATTCAGCGTTCCATAACCACCTCTCGTTCTTTTTCAACAAACGAGAGAGGTGCATAGTCATCTCGGCGTAATTGCGTGAATACTTGTGCAAATACGCCGCTAGCCCAAGGAATTTTCGAAGACCTTTGACATCAACTGGCACAGGCCAGTCGGTGATCGTCTTGATCTGTTCGGGATCAGGACGTACACCGTTCTTACCAACGATGCACCCAAGAAGTGGTATTTCGCTTGCTGCAAATATACACTTCTTGAGATTTGCATACAATTGATGCTTTCGCATGATTGTAAGACCTGTCGGACGTGGTACCTGTGAACCTCAACGTCCGACTTTCCATCCATAGCCCGACTATGGATGAATACGTCATCGAAACAACTCGGCGCGAATTCTCGTACTGGTCTCAACAGATGTGATACACATCTGTTGAACGTGGCAGGGGCATTACTAAGCCCTTGTGGCATTACTAGCCATTCCCAGAGCCTGCCGCTAGGCGTGCTCACTGCGGTATAGAGTATATCCCTTTCTCGCATTAGGATTTGATAGAAGCCATCCATCAAATCCATGGACGAAAAGATGGTACTCTTTGACATACCATCAATGATTACGTCCTTCCTTGGTATCGGCGTCTGAGCCGGTACCGTTGCAGCATTCAACTTGTTAAATGCATGCACTATCCGCCAGCCTCCTGTTGCTTTTCGCACACAGAAGGTCAGAGAGCTATGTGGGGAAGTTGATTCCCTCACATGGCCCGAAGCTAAACGATCGGCAAAGAACTTGTCGATCGCAAGTACTTGTTCACGGGGCAGTGGCCACTGCTTCATGACACAGTACTTCGAGCCTGGTTTAAGCTCGACCTCGTGTCGAATACCTTTATCCTTCGGTAATTGGCACGGAACAGTTTCAGGGAATACATTCTTGAATTCAACCAAATCTTCATAGAGAGGATTTGTCTTGAGCGATTCCCACGATTGGGAGTCATATCGCTCAACTCGTGTCTTTTCATCTAGGACACTCTCGTCCATAGATGAACTACTGAGAACTCTCTCGTTCTCAGTGAACACTGTTGCTGACCTTATGTCGGCTACACACTCGTCGTCAGCGACGAGTACGCAGATCTGCTTGACTTTGCCACTACGCAGATCACGCAAGAACCTTTTATGTTCGAGAGTTGGCAACTGAGTGATCTCCGAAGTCAACTTCGGAGGCGCAATCAGATCGAGTGTATAAGCGCCTACACTTGATCCGTTATTGACTATGACAATCAATGTCTCTGTCGTTTCCTGGGGACTTATTCCCTCAGGCCTCGAAGGACTTATTCCTTCGTCTTCCCGGGGACTTATTCCCGCGGGTTTCGGGGAACTTATTTCCGCCGTATTTTGTAATCTTGGGACTTATTCCCTTAACTTCCTCTAGCTGTGGTTGCGCAACCACAGCGAGATCCTCTACGAAAGACTCTCCAGTCGATCTAGGATTATCGTTTCGCTTAACCTGAGCGATCGATTGTTTCTCTTCTAGATGTTCCCCGCTAGGGATACATCTTTGTCCCTGTCCACCCGACTTATTCGAGTGGTGGACCTTCGGCGCAGCCTGTGTTTCCTCACAGCCGCCGGAATCTTGCTCCGAAGTGTAACTTTTTGTTACACTAAGGTTTTGTGCAGTCGTACTAACGACCGTACCACAAGTGAGGCCATCGCACTCACTCGTAGTACATCCACACGCTTGTGGACGCTCCAAAACGTTCATCAGACGGCCATCTGATGAACAAGCGGCAGGCATCGTTACTGTTCGATGTTGCCAGTTTAGCCCTGGTTCGCACCTTCTGAGCCACGGTATTCCAAGGATGACATCAAATTTGTCATCCAAATCCAATACGATAAAGTCATCGTCATGTTGGGTATCTTCTAGCGTATAGTGGATCTTCACTATACGCTTCATGACGGTTACGGATGCGCCTGTCGCAAGCCGTACAGTCATCCTCGTAGGAGGTGTGTCACATTCACTGAACTTTAAATGACCATCTTCTAGCGATTGGCGTTGCAAAAAATTGTTGGACGCCCCACAATCGAATAGAGCTCGAAGGGACAACTTATTCGTCACATCGAGTTTCAAGGTAATGAGTGAGATCTCATTACCTAGAGCAGCAACGCACAACGTTTGTGTGTTGGGAGCAACCTTCATCAAGAGGCCTACAAATTCTCTTGACGTTGCTGGACCAGTAGGGTGCTCCGCACCTACTGATCCTGTCCGTTTTTTTTGACGGTCCATCCCGTTGTTGCGTCTTTGCACCAACAGCGGACCCGCGTCCCTGCCCCTTTCTCATGGGTGGACGGTCATTACGCCCAGTGTTGCGAGACACTGGACGAGGGGCACTACACTCGTAAGCGTAGCGTCCTTTCTTTTGACATCTGTTGCATCTCTGCAACTTCTTGTAGTCTGTAGAGCGAGCCTTCTCGCTCTCTACATAACAGAGTTCCATCGGCTCTGGACCTCCGTTGTCATATTGTCTCGGTTGAAGATATGATGTCGAGCTGGCGCGAGCCTGTCTCAGACTGAAGTCTTCCTGTTCCGCAAAGGAAATGGCTTGTTCTAGTGAATCTAGTTCAAGCCGGAACAGGTGAGTCTTGACGGGACCATCCGCAAGACCCTGCATGAACACCGAAACCAACGTGTGTTCATCCACCGGATTGGAACTTGTACAACTCGTGAGATGTCGTATATGTTGCGCGTAAGCGTGCACATCACGCTTACCCTGCTTGAGCTTCAAGAGTTCTGTTCGAGCTCTGAACTCAGCTCTAGGCGGTTCAAACGTTTGTCTGAGCCGCGGTGAAGACTTCCAACGACCCAAACGCATATGGGTCGTGCAACTTGAGCCCCAGTGCCCAAGTCTTGGCACGTCCTGCCAGATTTGACTGGGCAAATGCAACTTGCATTTCCCCGTCGTCGATGCGACGCGCCCTTATGGCTTCATCCAATTCGACGAACCATCTCAAGAGGGAGTCCTCTTCGACTCCCCTATACTTGGAGATGTCAATCTTCAAGGTTTCGGGTCGACGCGAGTGCATCGACCCACCAGCAGCAGCCTGCTGCTGTCTCAACAGCTCAAACTGTTGAGCACTCTGTTCTCTCAACAACTCTATTTGTTAAGAACCTTGTTGGTGAAGCAAGGCTACTTTCTCGCGTTCAGCGTCAAGTTCATTTTGAATGAACTTGGCGATAGTAGCATGTTGGGCATCTCTATTGAGAGCCTCTAGCATGACGCTAACAGCATGGATTCCCATGGTTGAACCCATCCGTTCAACCGCATCCCATTCGACATCGCTCAAATGGGAGTAGCCGTCACGCGTAGCGTGAAAGCTTTGGTCATCTTCATCATCCAACATATTCATGTTAGATGTGAACGTGGTCCTTGGACGGACTACGAAGTGCTACCAGGTGTGACGGGGCACCCTAAAGCTTGTACTGGTGACAGTACAAGTGACAGTACAAGCTACTTATTCTGATGACAGAATAAGGCGGTGCCTCGGAACTTCACGTACACTCGTACGTTTAGAGGAAGACGGTAAGAAGAAGCGAGTACTTGGTTAAAGTAAAAAGTAGAACTGTATTCAGTATAGTTAATGTCTGTTACTATAATCACTATTTATCCTCATCTAACTATGTCTGAATACAAATGTGCATATCAGCTATCTGCTCACCACTCATTGCGTGCGTCTGTCGTGGCGCGTCTTCGTTGGTTGATGTAATGGCCTATATCAACCAATTAGGAACTACTCGTAAGTGCTACAGAATATTTGTCCTTATGACAATATTCTGAGAATACAACTCTTATAGTTATATTCTATTAACTATTTCGTATAAATTGTTATATAACGATTCATACCGTTACATGACTTCCTCAATGACGCAAACACTTACGTTATTAAAAATTTGGAAGGACCGAAGTGGAATTGGTATGAAGAATCGAAAAATGTGTAAGCAGATGATTGAATACAGCGGCCGATCGATTGAGAGGATGAAGGTAAACAAAGATCGTTGGATCTTAATGTTCAGTGTATTGACACATCATGAACAGTGAAAGTTCAATAGGACTAAGAGAAGAGGATCGTGGTGACGCCTGAATGGGGATCGTACATCAACAAACCTAACAGTCTCCTATTATTGCAATAACTTGTGTTGGAGGATGGTCGTATTATCTACCTAGACTAGGTATGCGCCTATTCAGTGACCATGAGTGTACCAGATGATGATCTCAGAGGTTATTTTTGTAAGACAATATCAAGAAATATAGTCGTTGAAGACCAACTGACGGCAAAAACTTGGCTAGGTTGAATTTTGACCAAATTTTTGCATGACCTAAGAGTGGGTTTAGATCCTATATTTGGAAAAATGGTTTAAGTTTATTGTAAAAAAAAACCGGACTGAGTATTTGAACGCAATATTTGTATCAACTGCCCGATATTTGTCACACTCACAACATATGGATACTGACGCCAATACTGGAGAATGTAATCCAGGTATTTGACACGTGTTCCCAGGACGCGGTATTGGATGTTAAGATTTATCATGTGCTCACTTTTGGCAGCAGGTTGAGAAGTATTCGTAATATTTAAACGGATTTTTACACGCACTATAAAACCTTGATTCAATAAGACACAGAGTTTAATTTGATATGTTTTAGCAACGACGTCTGACCCTCTCTTCTGGGTGAGATTTATTTGGCTTCTCACCGAATCAATGAAGTGGGAAGCCGAAGCAATTTTTTTCGAAACAGGGGTTACATGTCGTTGCTAAGCACGCGCGCTCAGCTTTTAAGACAATGTCAGCTCTTGGATTGTTTGACCAGGGTTCTTAAGAACACGTAGGAAACAAACAACTGCGATTGAAGGCGGGTGTAAGTGTTGGACAGCCGACCTCGGTGAGGTTGATTTATCTGAAAGAAGAGATCGAAAGACCAACCTGAGGGCTCGAGCAAGGATCAGAAGCGTCAAGCGCGTGCGAGCCGATCGTTTTAGATAGACGAATCTGATCGTAGGGCCTATCTCCAGGATTAGGTATTGCGAACGATTTTTTTCAGTCAAAAAATCATTTTGATTGGATGCACGACAAGGTTAATGGGTTGAAGTATCTGCGGCAACCGAACGGTCGATCTAGAAATTGAGATCACACCTATACCATATCGCTGTGTGAAGATTCTCGCGCAGCGGTCATTTAGTCATCTAAATACCGAGCGTGATTGACATCTCCCAAGGACGCTATGGAAAGCTCAATCCATTCCAATTGACGGATGTACAAGGTGGTCAAAATCCAAGCAATGTGATTAAGGCACGATACAAAATGGCGGTGTCTGCCTTGTCTACGTAATGGGGGGATAAATCAGGGGCTGATTTATTAGCAGAAAAGCACAGGAAACTACAACCGGTTTCGTTTTGATGGATGGCTTTGAAGTGCAAGTCCTCAATTGGGGACCGTACATCATGCAGACGACACTCAGATCGTCCCAACAGGTCCACTACAGTATGATCAAGATCCACCTAGCTGACCCTGAGATCGATGGTTCGTGACTGTGATAAATAAGACGGGGATCTCAATGGTTAAAAAAAGAATAGTGAGATCGGGGATCCTATTTGTCCCGATTCAATCTGGAAGTGAACCGAGTTAAATCGTAACGTCAAATATGGGACGGGTAGGTAGATTTTAAAACAACGTGCTAGACGATTATGCCGACATCGTGGAAAGGAATTGGTAATCCGTATCCTAGCTCCCAAAATTGTTTTAAAAATACATTCGAGATCAGTGTTGCGGTCGATTAGAAATACGAGTGAACTTGGTGAAATCCTAACATCGGTTATCGAATTACTTGGAGGAGGGTATGGCATCAATAAAAGGTTCAGTCCCGAAAATATATTGAGATGTCCGATTTGATACCACAAAGTTTATTGAGACATATTTGTCGCGGTGTTGAATTTATTCAAATATTTTGATAGATCTCAATAATCTGGATATAATTGCACCCTTAGATATAGTAATAATATGAAAATTGCAACATTTCGGGTGACCCCCAGTTTTGTGATAATCAGCATAAAAATTGCAGAGATTTCGACACTTTATTAACAAGGTAGAATCTTAAAGTGTAATTCGTTGAAGGTTATCCTGCAGTGAATAGGCAAGGTAACATTATGGGTACTTATTTGGCTGCTCAACAAAAAGAGTTACAGCTACTTGAATTATCACGTTTCGACTTCTCCATCGAGCAAAATTTCAACATAAGGTCTAAGAGGCCACAGCTTTAAGTGATATCTACAAAACTTTTGAATAAATATAAAATTCTCGACATTCTGCAACTTTAATTTAATACAGATACAACGTAAAGGAAAAGTACAAACAGAACGAAGTTTCTAAATATTAAAAAAGAAAATCTAACAAGGAGCCACCATACTGGACCAAGTAAGATCAGAACGATCCAAACAATAGATTAATCAGATAAACCCAAGGTTATTGCGATCTTCAAGATCGTAACAGGGTAGCCCGTTACATGAGACTGACACCAAACGGTGTCACAGAAGGATTGTCTAGCGTGACAATCTCCTGCCAAAATTATCTGAGATAGGCAATATTGAAGGAATAATATCCCCTTATGATCTTGTTCACGAGCTGATCGAAGATTGGTCGATAAAAGATATGTCAACCATAGAATGCCATCAGTCGCTGCTAGATGCGTGCAATGGGTGGTGGGCAGGTTGTCGTCATACGACAACATATATTAAATAAGGTTGATAAAGACTGAAGTTATATTGATAGCTTAACTATTCTGGATACAGTTCTCTTTCCACCTTTACTTAAACGAGTCATTCAAGTATATTAGCTTTATTTGCACGTACGAGCAAACGTGAAGATTCGTAGCTGCCAAAAAAAGGGTGCCCCGTTAAACCTGGTAGCACTTTGTAGTCCGTCCAACGACTACTTAGTGTCCGTCCAGCATGAACATGTTGGACGTAGAAGACGATAGCTTTTACGTCACAAGCTACTCCCATCTGAGTGACTCAGAATGGAAGGTAGTCCGTCGCATGAGTGTTTTCATGGCAGAACCCGCCATGAGTGGTATGTTGGAGTCTCTAAGCAGAGACCATCAACACGCTGCTATCAACAAGTTTCTACAAGGGGAACTTGCCGTCGAACGACATATGATAGCCTTGCTACAGCAGCAAGGCTCTCATCAGTCGATGGGCGCGCCAACGCACATGCATCGACCCGAAACCTTGAAGATTGATATCTCAAGGTACAAGGGAACCGATGAAGAATCCCTTTTGAGATGGTTCGTCTAGTTAGGCGATGCCATTAGGGCCCGTCACATCGAGGGTGACAAGATGCAAGTCACCTTCGCCCTGTCAAATTTGACCAGACGAGCAAAGAATTAAGCCTTAGGGTTCAATCTTCACGACCCAGCCGTGATTCAATCGTTGGGGATCTTGGAGTCTCGGCTCAAAGAGACGTTTGAGCCGCCCAGAGCCGAGCTCAGAGCACGCTCTGCTCTCCTGGGGCTCAAAAAGGGTTAGCGTGATGTGCACGATTATGTACAACTCCTACGGTTCCTTGTACGTAGCGTCACGGAAAACCCTGTTTATGAGAACACGCTTATCAACGTATTCATCTACGGTCTTGTACATGGACCGGTAACGACCTACATGTCCCTAGAGGACTTCCATACGCTGGAAAAGGTGACAGCGTACGCGTAACAGGAGGACTTCAGCCTGAAACACTCTCAGGCAAACCCATCCAACTATCGTCCGATGAGACGACATGAAACAAGAGGTCCCAAACCTGTGACCTCTGTTACATCGAGAGCGAGAACTCTCGCCCTCTGATTCACAAGCGAACGGCAAGATGCCATCTGTAACGGGGTGAATCGTTACATAACAATTTGTAAGAAATTGTTAATAGAATATAACTATCAGAGTTAAATTCTCAGAATATTGTCAAAGGACAAATATTCTGCAGCACTTACGAGTAGTTCCTAATTGGTTGATATAGGCCATTATATCAACCAACGAAGACGCGCCACGAC